TTTTATGCAGCTTGTGCGGCGTTACGTTCTCGTACCGCGATCGTTAGATCCAGTGTGCGCGCGGCCCCTTCTCCGTGCCTCGAATAAATTACTCCTCACCGAGTACGGTATTCACTGGAGCGACCGACGGGCGGTGGGCAACGCTCCTGATTTCACTCCGATCTCAGCTTCTAGTAGGTCGGCGGGCGGGTCGGTCAGGGCTTGTTGCAGCCCTCAGATTGGCTGCCGGCTTCGGCTCAGCGGTTGGCTTGACCGTCAGTCTATTCGACCATGAACACTTGAACAGCAGTTGCCCACGAAATCGCGAATTTACAGGATTCGAAACGCCGGCATCGTCGCTGTCGCCGCTGTCGTCTTCATAGATCATTACTCGGTTGTTTCGTCGGGATTTCTTGTACCCGTATCGTAATAGCGGTCGTGGCGGTGGTTAGATTGGAGAAAAAAATAACATTGGATGAGTCCGAGCAACAGGAACCGCTCGAACTTTCACGCAGGTTTTATTCCGGATTTTGTTGATCTGAAGTTCCAGGGAAGCATCTTATTGACTTTCTCCTCTTCACGGCAGAACCCAGGATGGCTCGCGGGGAACGTGGAAATCCCTGGGCGCAACAAGTTGGTATTAAGCTTTCGCTGGCGGCGGGCGAACGTCAATGCGCGCGAGTCGTCGCGAATCGGTTCAAAAGAAAATCGTTGGAAAAGTCGCTGAGGCGCTCAAGACTTCGAGCCGAGCTGGGAAGAAGTCTCCTGAACTGGTTCGGTGTATCTTTGATCGAATTTCCTCGTTTTGGAACAGCGGAGCCCTCGAGAAAAGGCGCGACTGCGGTAACCAGACTCCGTGACGGCTCCCCAACACCTGCCTCCGAGCAACGAAACGTTCGGACTGGCATTGTAGTCGCTTCGGTGTATACGCCGTGGTGAATCAATGATTTTTCGGATGAGAATCCCGCGCTCACTTGAGCTCAACGTGTCAATTGCATAGGTGTGTTCGAAGGCGAACGAGCATTTTGGCGGGAGCCTTTTGTCTCTCAATGGTAGATACTAGTTTAGAAGTGGCGGGCTGGATTGGCGCCCGAACGTTCCAATGGCGCACCATCTGATTTAACGAGAGTATCGGGCGGTCATCACGAATCAGAATTTCGAGCGATAACGTTCGGTATTGATGACATTCCGGTGGAAACTTTCGAGTTTTCTGTTCGAATCGAACTTCTCGAAAGACTCCGAAAAGACTGCCCGGAGCTGTGATATTGATTTCGGCTGGCTCTCGGTGATCAATGCTCGTCATCAAAAACGTGAGTGATCCGGCGCGTGGCGGTTTCTGTTTACGTACCGAGTTGAGTTTCTAAAAACGTCTGAAGCGCCATCGGAAGAGATGCCCGGGTGCTCTTTTCTCTGGAAGACGGGTCGGGTTTGTGGGAGATGGCGTTTCCTGTCCAATTTCTCGAGATCGAATCCGAGTGCTGATCGATTATCGTAGCACACCTGAGGAGGACTTGTGCAAATCTCTGGTCCATCCATGCGTTTTTCAGCGAACGACCTTGGTTTGCGAGAGCCGCCCTCATAGGAGGCTCTGGAAAGTATTCGGCTGTTCCCGAACTTCTTCACTCCAATCGAGCTCTGAGTTGGCAGAATATGTAGCGGTCGCCGAGACTAGGCGGATATATTGATACGTGCCGGAGCCGTGAAGTCCCAGAGGAAGCCGGCTTTCTTCGGTGGGATAGTTGAGCCCCGGAATGCAAACGGATTACCATTTTCCCCGAGAATTCACCTTCCCGAAACTCCTGCAGCTCATGTACCGCAGGGGGGATGGTGCTCGGAAATTCTGAATTGCTTTATTCTGTTTTCAGAGCCCGTCGACCATGTCAACACCCCAGAAATGGGCGCGTATGCCCCTGTCAGTCATGGAACTCCCAAAAACCAGCTAGCGCATGTGTATTATATTGTGTCAAGATCAATATTGTGTCGTATTATATTGTGTCTAGATAAAGTCAATAGAAGTTTATAATATTGTGATGGAGACCTCAGTACCTCAGAGACTCATATGATTACCGAATGTTCCAATGTTGATAAACAATCAGAGAGTGAACCGGACAGAGAGTGAGGGTTTGGAGACCGAATAAAAGGGCCCGGTTGAGAGGAGGCAAAGAGACTCGTCCCCGACCGGTGTTGTGCCACCCATGTCCGTGTCCTTTCTTTGCCCTAGCCCGACGCCGACCCAGTTGCCCTCGCACCCAACCTCGTACAGCCCGTGAGTCTCCTTCCGCGACATCAGTATTCCGGTGGCTCGACCTAGCCAGGTAGTTAGCGCGACAACCTCCCCGCACGCGAGGCCCCCCCTCGAGAGCTTCGTTACAATATGAAGAATGTAGGCATTGCGACTGGGACGGAGGAACTATTTAAACAAAAGAGAGCATTGTAGATGTGAAATGAAAACCTGTATTTTTTGTGTGTAGGTCGAAAATTGCTCAAGCGATCTATTAGAAAGACCTCCTCAATAAATAATTACTTTGCTCGAAGGGAACCCCTCGTTCGCTCTTCCGCTAACTCTCCTCATCATCTCTGGCATTCGATTGTCTTATCATCTTGGTCTAACACACCCAGGCTACAGACAATATGATCCAGCCTGATCGATCCGGGGGTCTTTCTTACGCTCGACGGAGCGGGAAGATCCTCTGCGTATCGTCTATCGTGGCGTCTATACGCGACCGTGATGCTGGCTTTCTACCCTCCGATGTGAACTTTCAATCATGCGGTCTTCCTCCGCACACATTTCGAGAGATCAATCTCCTCGAGCAACACGGGGATTGAGAGAGCTTTGCAGACACCGGATCTCCTGAATCTTTCGAAAATGCCATCCGGGAGCATTGATACTATTTCTCATTCATCCTCCGAATACAAACAATAGTACTAACTCTCAAGGGGATCCCGCCACGAAGCCGATTCAGGGCATACGCTCCAGACCAAGTTTGACTCCTCGACGACCGAGGCTTGCGATGGATGTAGTCTACCGCCTTCTTACGACCGACTTGACCATAGTGAGCCTCATGATTCCTCAGCAGCCGGATGCGCGGCAGGCGTCGAGATGAAGATAGGGTACGTACCACTCGATAGAGACCGTCTGTGAACAGATGGAGTCGGAGACCACATGACGACTCTCTTCCTGCGCTGTCCAAGGGAGCTGGACATACTCTGGGGTCGACCATCACCGATGTGACCTCGGTCGAACAACAGCTTCGCTGTGACCAGGAGGACATACCCTTCACCGAGGCAGGGAGCGCCTTTTGGAATTCGGACGTATGTCTGGCGGACAAGTACAACAGCCAGATGCGGTGTCCATTAGCTGTACTCAGCGGACATTGAGTGGTAGCGTCCTGCTCGCATGAACCAACGGGTTCGGGGCAGTCCTGTTCACACAGCTCGAATCATCTCCCATGAGAAAAATGCGTAAAATACGACCCTCAACTTCCTCAAGACTAAGAAACAGGCATGTATGATCCATACGGTTTGGAATAGCCGGCCGTCGGTGGTGCTTCGTGAAACTCCTGTCCGAAATGCGCGGGAACCCCACCACCGTATTCACTTTCGATCCATCAGCTATCTCGCGTGTGATCAGGACGAACACGGAACGAAGCAACCCTCTATGAAGCTGCGGCAATACGCTCCACAGGTACCTTTCAGATATCGCTCAGCAAGTCACCCATGAGGTACCAAATCCCGGAATGGGGCTGCGCCGAGAGAGACGCGAAACAGCCCGGGAACCCCGAGAATGAGACGCGCTTGCGCGGCGTGCCACAGCCGTCATGAAAACATTGATTTCGAGTTTTTTTGTACCTCGTGGTTCGCTTAGCACAAATTTCATGTCAGTAAGAAAGATCAATACGTCGAATATCCAAGACTCCTAACTTGGGGTGGACTCGGTTTGCGGGCACGTGGACAATAGAAAATCCGGTGAGGAGTGCAGCTGCCCGCTCCTCGTGAACGTCTCAGTTTGTCATCGGTAAAGTATTCGTGTTCCGAAGCATCATATATCATTTGTGAGTTCTTTCGAGAAGCGGAAGCACTCCCTCTCCATTTAGTAAGCTGCACAGGGCTCGGAGAGTACCGGACTCGATCGCGTTTTTGAGAGGGTCCGCGTGCTAAGACCTCCGCACTGTATTTAAATAACAGTGGGCTTCGCACCGGGAAGATCGAGATCCAGGAAACCTGTCTGCATGAATGACTCGCATGCGGCCAGTCAAAGTCCTTCCGATGATCCTATCTGATGCGTTCCTTCCGCGTCCTTGAACATTTGACGCAGCCGACAATCTCTTCGATTCTGTTGGAACTTTGTCCCATTGGCTCACATGACTCACAGGGGCGTCGGAAAGTGAATGACACGAATATCTTACCTTCCGAGGAGAGATAGCATCAAGGGCGTGACACTCTGTAAATCGACTCGCTCCACCTGATCACCTCTCCTACTCCGTAGGATGACCCGCTATCGCGGAGCGATTGCGATCGACGGAAAGCTCTGTGAAGCTCTCGATCGGGGGAAACTATGTTTTATTAGGAGAAATCGCTACCTGACAATGAGACGTATCACGTGCTACGAGACATCGAGGGGAGGCGCCTCATCCCGTGAAGGTGAGACGGGGGCGGGGGACGGGCCGCAATAATTGACATATCTGCTCTTTCACGCATGGAAACGAGGACATCCAGCGCAGTCCTAGTTTGCAGGACCACCGAGAAAGCGAAATGAGCAACAGAGGACGGCAGGAAAGAGCGCGCCGAAATCCCAGAACATCCGGTCATCGATCAGAGGTCGCGGAAGGGTTCATCGTCGTTCCAACTGGGGATCAACACCGGCGCTATCTGTGGAGGTAACCCACCATTGGCAATGGGTCTCTCGTTATAAATAGTAACCAAACATCTTGACCGAGCTTATCTGATAGACTTTCCGAAGCAGAATCTAGCGTCAGAATGGAGAGGGTCGTATCGCTGGATGATGGCAGTTGCCTGCGAACCAGACTGGGCCTCAAATTGAACTCGAAGCGCGCAGTGGCGGTTCTTGACACGCCGACTCAAACAACGAGAAGGAAAAAAAGAAGTGTCACGTTCGAAACCTTCATCTACCATGACTCAATTCAAGGTTAGTTGAAGTTTAAAACTCGACCTCCCCTATCTAGCTTAATCTATCTTGCAACGCTTTCACGAAAAACTTGGAAATTCTACCTCGACGGCGCGGAGTTGTGTCGAAACTCGAAACGTTCGAGCTTCCTCTGCGGGGAACTGCGCGTGACTGGAAAATAACGAAAATTTCATGCCAAATCCAGATTATGTCCACGGCGGCCGACGATGGTTGTCAAGAAAAGTCGGCGGCCGGAACCAAGACCTCAGACCAAATTAGATCACGAGCACCCCTGGATGTGAAAGTACCTGTTATCGGCATCATTGGAGGGCCTGGATCTGGGAAAGGGACGCAATGTGAGAAACTCGTCAAAAAATACAGCTTCACGCACATTTCAACCGGTGATCTCATGCGAGAGGAAGTGAAGGCAGGAACGAAAATCGGTAAACTTGCCGCAAAAGTTAGTTTTCTATTGATTATCCCAACCGACGGGATATAGTGCGACCCATTTGACGATGTATGGATTTCTCGAATATCCTCACAGATTCGTTCTTATAAAACCTTGCGATTCCAGTGCATGGAAGAAGGACGTCTTGTCGAAAGCAGTGTGGTTCTAGATGTATTGAGAGCAAAGATCCAGAAGGAACTGCCCACGAGCCCGGGTTTCATTTTGGATGGTTATCCACGCTCTCTTGATCAGGCAGCAGCTTTCGAGCAATCTATCTGTCCGATCACAGCCTACATCTACTTGAAAGTCAGCGACGAGGCAAGTCTTACCCGAGCCTTGGGGAGAAAATTGAGAATTGAGAGGCTGATTTGCTGTCTGAATATATCAACATCAAAAACGACCTCTGATTGGAAATCACTCCCTCAAAATCAAGAGAAGCTTTCGTTGCCGGGGATGAATCCTCCGAATCTCAATCCGATTACTTCACTCCCAACAGGCAATGCTGAGACGCTTGGTGAGCCGTGGGAAGAAGAGTGGTCGTGCCGACGATAATGAGGAGACGGCAAAGAACAGAATCGCCGTGAGTTTCTCTTGAGTTTCCCCAATAAGATGCAACCATGCCTCCATACGCAGTCTCGATGAGGAAACGATCTAAGGTTTCCCGGTTTCCTCAGATATTCTACAAACAAACGCAGCCGATTGTCTCGGAGTACTCGGGAAAACTCACCAGCATCGTCGCTGAGGGAAGCATCAACGAGGTAAGATGATGCAGCTCACTCTGTCTCGGGCTCTTTATTGAATATCGCTTTTTTGATGATGTTTTTTTCCGGAGGCTCATCCGATTCCTCTCAGGAATTTCTTTCTTCCAAAGGTACATTCCGTGGTGGACGCCGCTTTCAGCAAACTCATATCAAATGGTAGTAGGAATGTTGTTTGACGCACAAATAGGTGTTCTTCGAATTGTTCGTTGTCGAAATGAGCTGTAAATAAGCGCAGAAAGAAACAAAATTCAGACACAGTCGAAGAAGTTTCCGTTTTTTTTCTCGCCAGACGCCCGTCCGAGCTCAGGCATCCCAATCATCCGATTCACCCACAGCCAATTCGACCGTTCGACTTTTCCTGCGGGGTATCGGAGAATTTCGTCATAAGGTTCCGCAAGCGGAATTCCGCGGAATTTCCGAGAGGCTCTCGCAAAGGTCCTCAAGGTGCCAGATTTCCTGCCAGCGTTACCTATTGTCAGGATAAGTGCGGTCTCTCACGCTGAGCCTATCGAACCTTTCTCAGATAAGTTCCGTCTTGACAGCAGGCTTCGGCTTGCGGCGGTCGCGATAGGCTGATGATTATCTCCGTAGATACGGTGCGACGTGCCTGGCGCGATCCCATTATCGACGAAAAAGGCTATCCGGGAGCGATAAGGCCGACATCAACAAATGCGCAGCGAGCTGTCGCGCCGACGAGATATTTCTGACGCCAAAGTCCATCAACGAGGCTGGGAATCTGGCGCGGGAATTATCCCGGGAATTCACGGCATCATCCGGCCTCCGTGGACTCTCAATTGAGAACCCGTCGGAAATGCGATGAACGACGAACATTCACGGCTCCGGCGCGACCGCGCCAAAATCCGAGCCTGATCCATGACTGGCGATTGGCCCGCGAGAAGCTGCCGGAATCCGTTGATCCAGAGTGAATCCGGAAGAGCAGGAATCGCGATTTCTGTCGAGGAGGAAAATTTTCATTCGGCCATGACGGCCTTGGAAGCGTCAAGTGAACGTTTGCTCGACCCATATCGGTGTGTTCGTCGTTGTAATCGAGCTTTCCAATTACTTGACTTGTTTATAGTTTCATATGGACTGAAACTCAAAGAGTCTTTCTAAACCGATAATTTCCGTCGCGACTGCGAGCTTCGAAGCTGGAATGTCCGGAGGCCTGTGTTCCCCATACTGCGTTCTGGTGTTTCTGGTCGTGGTCCCCTTCGTCAACCCCACGAACAGGACTGTCAGTCGAACAAAACGTCAACAGAGCATCCTGTGTCTCGGCGACGCGTTCATTACTGAAGTGATCACCACGATCATCGATAGGAACCGAGATACAATTCGAGCCTCTGAGCCCGTCGTCCTCGGTGGCTGCCAAGGTTACGGCATCTTCCGACTGTGTCGCGGTCGTGCAACGCGAATCTCCGAAATCAGGTTCTTTGACGGTATCAGAAGCGAGTGCGATGATATAGATCGTTGGGCGAAGTTCTCTATTCCGATCGCAATTCAGGACTTCACTTTCGCTTTCGATATCACCTGGCCGCTCTCGTACGCCGGCGGCATCCTCACGGCCCAATGGAAACTGGCAGCGGCAGAAGTGGTCGTGTACTGGCCGACAAACAGACAAGCTTCGGGACTGTCTCCGAAAATTGACAGCTTTACCTTCACTGCGGATGAGGGATTGACTTACACAGCGACCGGAGCATATCCTCTTTCGGCTGGTCTGAGAGTGGCGCTGTCCTTATTGAAATCTGTGCTCCCAGACATCATCAACAGGCTTAATGCGGTCATTGTGGTCACGGTTTTCCAGCAATGGATTGACGGCTATTATCCAGAGTTGCCTTTTTGAAAGTGGGCTGCAAGAGTTCAATCTCAAAGAATTAGGGGCTGCGGGGGGCATCGCTGGCAGGATCAAAGGATGGTCCCCTCACTGGAAGAGGAAAAGTTTGCTCGGACTCGGGAGCTGATGGGCGGCGGTATCACCAAACACAAGGACAGCAGCGGAGCGGATGCCTGGTGCGAAGTTCAGTGTGTCGGAGCGCGCTGGGAGAGAGGAAAATACTCTAGAATTCGAGTCGAGTCCTCTCAGAAGTCGTCGCCGCAGAGAGTTACTCGAGGATCTCGGAGTCGATTGATACGAGTAGCGAGGCCGACTCGACTCCCCGCGGGGCATCACGTGTAGTTGTCAGCTTGATGGAGCAGTCAGGGGGAAAAATGTGGACATCGAAATCTCAAGACAAACTTGAATATTTCGAGGACAGGCTAAGTCAAGGGAAGGGATGTATTTTGTCGCGATATACTCTATCACTACGATCAGGATTCGTGACACGGATAGACTACTCAGTAGACAGGAGTCCATCATTTGTTCTTCCTTTCACACGTCTTCTACACTATTGTTTACTGTCCTCCGGGAATTTCAGTGTCAGATTCGGTGCTCGCTGTCAGCCCTCAATAAATTATATCACTTGAGTGAGAACCGCGAGCTCGCTAGGTGCGCACACAAAAGAGCTGCAAGAGAGTCCCACGATCTTCGCGACGCGGGCAACTGGCGATTCCGGTGGCAAACCTGGGTCCGATGAGTCTGAGTGGTCTCGTATCTTTCTAAGCTCAAAATCATTACGGAACTCGGTGCTAATGAAAGCACCGGAGTTCCAAGGAACACCGTTCCTCGTGTCTGCCAATCCTCGCGATTCCTATCTCATAGCCCGGCTTGATCCATCGTCGAATTTTCGAGCGGAAATTTCTAGATCTCTCATGTATCTTCTCTGCCCAGCTTCAGGAGAATGGCAGATGACGCTATTCATCTCCATGCTATCTGTAGATTCATCACCTCTCATGAGACGATATGACGTTCTGGCCTCGAGCAGACTTTCGACCGACGTCCCTACTGACGATGATCATCTCCGCTTTGGAAAGTTGTGAAGGAATTGTAGGTGAAAAACCGTCAGAAGAGCCTACCTGACGAGCCCTGGAAGACGATCTGATCCAACTCCAGGTAGACCCAGGCTGGCCGTGGAGTCCAAGGACGAGGATTTGGAAGTACTGTCTGGATCGACGCAGGAGGCCCACGGCGAACTGGGGAAGCTCTTCGAGTCGCAACTCCCGACCCCTCCACGATGAAATTTCGGATTGCATCAGGATTCAGTTCTTTGCGGTCGATGTGAACTAGACCCAGATCGCGACTGAGCGAGGGGCGGTTTCACGTAGAGACTTGATTCAAAGGGAGCCCGATGATAGTGAATTCATCTTACACTTAGCAGCGATAAAATCGTTGATGTAAATGTTCATGTATTCTCATCACATCGATTTGTCTCCCAATCTATACTGCTCAAAGCTAGCTGACGCCGCGTCAAACCTTCCTTGTGGAATTTGAGCAACCATGATGGGTGCCCGATGGCATGCTGTCTGGACAATGAGATTCTGGAAAAAGCTTCGATCGTGATTTTTGCATTCATCATAGACGGAGTCTATAGATTTGTACGGAGCCTCCCCGAGAACGACGATGGACATCACACTTGAGGAAAAACCTCTACGTCACCTCATGGATGATATCGCGCGCTAGGATCGGCAAGTCTGGCTCGTGAAGGGCTCGATCAGACCTCCGCGAGACCGTGGCTGCATATCCGTCCTGCGTGCAGGCGAAGACATCGTACCGGACAGAGGACAAATGGCCAGCGACATCGCAGCATTCCTGCGGAGCATCCGCTGCATCAATGAGCGAAGACCGCTGGACTACTATGCGATGCTTCTCCATCAAACTCTCCACCGTAGGAAGCCGAAATGAACCCTGGATTCTCTACTGTATTCCGTCGCCGATCTCTTTAGATAGGATTACCATAATTTGGAATATATCGCTGATCTTGATGAAAGATGACTGTTTCGAAACACGTCGCCAAATCCGACCACGCGCTCTTCGCGTGCTTCCGTTGATCGATCGTCGCATTCCTTTTGGCGACGATGCTTAGACAGAACCCTAGCTGAAGGTATCGGATTCCAACGGCTCTTCTCACAGATCTGATGATCTAGCCACAGAATTCCGGATCAACATCCGAGGATGCGGCTACATATGGAAGTCGCGAATAGATAGCATAGACGATTAAAGGTTCCCCCACACATCGCATCTCGACTTCCCTAAACTCGCTCCACTTGCGGGGATTCTCACAATATTTCCCGGAATCTTTGGGCTAAATTCCAATCATTGCAGTCATCATTCGGCAAATGGAGTATTCCCTGAGGCCGAAGGCATATGCGCGGCGTGAGGGATCGTTGTCGATGTGGGAGCATCTTGCAGTTACTTACTTAGAGGCTTTGCCGTCCCAAGGAACCTTCTAGGTATGGAGCACTTAATCCGTTATATCAAGTTTCCACAAAGCTTATTTCCGTACGCAGGTCAGTAACCGGAAGAACATTCGGCACATTCACATTTAATACACCGAACAGATTCTTGCGATCTGTGAAATTTGCTGAGATACGATTCGTTGGTAGAGTTCTCGTGGGCTTCATTCGCTCTGTGGGGGACTTTTTCGTAACAGGAGATCAGATCAGTCTGAGATGCTCGAACAGGCCTCTCGGATCGCTTGGGAAGATTTTCCACAGCACTTCCAGCTGGAGAAGCACAAGCATACGGGGATCGTGCCAACAGACACGCTTATTGGAGATTATTCAAGGTCGGGTTTTCCCGACGATTTGGGGATTCCCGCGAGAGTCGGAAACAGAGAGAAGCGGATCCGGTCATTTTCCAATAATTTCGCAGGTTGTGAATTCGAAGCTGCGGGTAGAAAGCGCGTCGGAGGATTGGACGCACGCACGGGCGACTTTTCTCCCCCTCCTCGGCATTCTGCCTGCGGATACGGAGCAGCACTCTCGATGTTTCGATGTCGAGGCTGCGGAGCGGATACGGATAGTCGACATTTTGATCATTGATTCAAGCCTGGCAGTGGATTCTCTCGGAAGTACGGCCCGGAAGCGCCCATCGTCGTGAAAAGAAGGAGACAAAGTCTCGTCCGACCCTCTCCGCTCTCGGAAATAGGTAACACTCTCTGGATTTTAACACGTGCTTGTTCCAAATGTGGGAGCGTCGGCGCCGTAGAGAAGTGTTCTGAAAGCGTCCGCGGAACGTCGGTGTTCGATTATTTGTCCCGAAAGAATCGAGGTAACGGATTCTGCTGTGTAGAATCAGCCCTCTCGCATGAGCGATGTCTTCTTCAACTCCGGATCAGCTTTCAACAAGTTGCGCTACTTCATCACGGGAGGATTCACGGCAGAGCGAAAGACGGTGTGCGGAGTCTCAATGTCGAGAGCATGATATTCCTCCGGTGGAGCCGGAAGCGGAAAGCCTCGTATCGTCGGTAAGACTACGTTCTCTTCCGATGTCCCGATTCCGGTCTCTCAGTCAGTCAGCCGAGTTCGACTTCTGTCGCGCCGAGCGCTCCTCAGCTGCAGGGAAGACGCATTTTCTCAAGTGGTGAATGACATGCGCACTCTCCTTGCAGGATAAAGTCTGTGATGCCGCAGGAGAACATGAAGACGGATCGCTCTATCCGTGCACAGAATGTACCGCGAAATTCGCGTGGAAACGCAAGCTCGTTTCACACATGCGCATTCATGCGAATCATGAGGTCAAAAGACCCTTCGCTTGTGATGAATGCGGCAAGAAGTTCCTTACGAAACGCTATGCTGCCTTGCACCAGAAGATACACTCTGGTGAGAGACCGTTTGTCTGCCCGACCTGTCCTCAGACTTTCTGTTGGAAGAGTGCTTTCGATAGACACGTGCGACACAATTGCAAGTCCAAGCCGGACGCGCGCAGCCGTTCCGAAGGGAAGGGCTCGGGGCCTGAGGAAGATCCCGCAAGCCGTCGGAGGAAATTCGTCGAGCGCGAATCTCCGGGAAAATTTGGCTACAGAAACCGATCTCTGGTATCCGGACGGAGCCCCAGGAAAGCGGGAAAATTCGCTTGCGATGAGTGCGGCAAAACATTTAAAACGAGTTGGTATGTCGCGCACCATCGGAGAAGACACACGGGTGAGAAGCCACACGTGTGTCCGAACTGTTTCCGAAGTTTTCGGTGGATGTCTGGTTTGAATAAACATAAGCTATTAAGCTGTCGGGTCGGACCGCATATCCCCCGCGATCGCGCAGGAAGCTCCGCGCGAGATCGCGGAAATCTTTTGCCCTCGCGGAACAAACCCGCAGCCGATGAGCCTCAAACTGTTTCGAGGCAAGCAGCGAGATTCCACGGGGGAAGTCGCTCGGACGTCTACATGCGCACCCATGAAGACGCAAAATCATTCGATTGCGAAGAATGCCAGAAGAGTTTCAAGACACCAGGGTATGCGGCCATTCATCGAATGATACACACAGGAGAGAAGCCGTATCTGTGTCGCATCTGTTCTGAGACATTCCGCGTAAAGACAGACTTTAATCGACACATGCAATTACATGGTGGGGTCCGGCCATTTGCCTGCAGAGCTTGCGGCGAACGTTTCTGGCGGCATTGGTCAGTGACAAATCACAGGGAAAGCCACAGAATACGGAAGCCTCATCCTTGTTCGAAATGTTCAATGAGTTTTCTCACAAGTCGCGGCCTCCTCAGACACGAAAACAACCATCGTCAGGAGGAGCCGTACCGCCGCGATTGGGGACTGGAGTAGCGCGCTTGAATTTATTCTATGGCAGGGCACCGAGCGACTCGTACCCTTCATGGAATGACTCGGCACTCGAAGGATCTCGTCCGCTGCTCCTCTTGCGGGGCGAATCTTGGAAACTTCCGAGTGCCTTCGAGTCGGAGAGCGTGCGGCTGCGTCCTGAAGAGCAGCGGGCTCTTGTCGGAGACCCGATCCTGGCCCCATCGAATGACACACAGGGTGTTTATGTTTTCTTTGGTTCATTGTCTCGTCGTCGAGCGAAATGTGACGGAGAGCACTCTCCGAAGAGTTCGAGCTCCCTCGCTGTATGGATGATGACCCCTCGCGGTTTGATTCGTGCATTGGATAAGTTATTCATCGAGATTCAGGTGCAATAAAAGTCAGACCAATCCGAATTCCAGTGCATTATTCTCGACCTCTACGTTCTTCGATCCCTCTCACTTCCACAGTATAAAGTCGCCTTCGAGCGAGAGATGGAGGACCTGCTCGAGCGGTTCTATGGCGGCCAGAGATCGGTAGACCGAAGTTTGTGTTGCATCCATACTGTGGGATGCTGCGAGAGGAATAATAATTGTAGTGAACTATTATAGCTTGATTTTGAGACGTTGGTGAGATGATGGGTCCGACGTCGTTTCTCTTAGCCAGGAATGCTTATCCGACCAATCGATATTCAGAGCGAGCTCATCACTGCGCCAATGCTGGGTGGCGCCGGAAGCACGGTGGATATTTATTCTGTTTGCTAGAAGATGATGCTTTCTTGGCCCAAATCGCGGTCGGAGCGTTCGAAGAGTCGTGTGATGAGAATATTCCGTCGGGTATCTCTTGAAGACTGAGCTCGAAACCTTGACGAAACGGAGGTATGGGAGCGGTCGCTCTGGCAAATAAAATTGAAAAAGAGGGAATGATGAGTGACAATCTCGGAAGATCCAATGACCCGCGAAGGGTGAGCACTCAGCTTCTGAGATGAAGGATCTCACACGGTTCACATGCGCAGCCGGAATAATTCCAATCAGATTGAGCGAGATTCTGGGGAATCAATAATGAACTCCATGACTCTCTAACGGGCCGGACGCAAATCCTCCTCCGTGATCAGGATTGGTATCGCTATCTAGTTTTCCTCCTATTCAGAACAATGTCACCTCGGGGACGGGTTCCTCCAGTGCATGTTACAAGTTATGCTAACCGATTGCTGTCGGAGTCTCTCGGTGATGCCAATCATCTGACGGGACGTTTTTCCTTCCAGTCTCAGTCGTCTCAAAATGTTCTCCACCTCGAAAAGTGTTCCGTTGCATCGTGCTCGAGTTCAATTCTATGCACTCCGAGACTCCGGATCGATGATGGATGAGATTCAAAATAATTCAAGGAGAAGTCCTCATTATCTCGTGCGACAGAATGCAGATATAGGGTATGCCCATGCCGACGAGAGAGGGCACCGGAAGAACCCGGCGACTGGCATACAGGAATCACTATTTGTCGCACGATTCTGTCGTTTGGACTCACTCATTCACATTTACGTTTCCTATGCAAGGATCGGTGGGCCTATGAACGCGAAGGAGACGCGTTAATGGGCCGTGATGGCACAGATTCTAGATTGAAAGATGGAATAAACTTCCTCTTTCGATCGGACGTCGTCTTTAGCCAGACACCGGGTCACTTCATGAGCATGCCAATCTCAAGATTATTGGCGGACACCGGTTCTCCCGCGGAATCGATCTCACCATTCGTATAATCTTGCTGAGAAAGGGCACCCCCGCTTGACAGAAATCGCGACGGACGGAGCGCATTAAATGATTCGGACGATGAGGAGTCGAGCAGATCGGCCTCGATCGATAGCATGGATTTGACCGAGTCACGGAGCTCGATATCGAACATCCGTGAAGGTGTTCTCCGAATCTGAGACTGGAGCCCGATGGAGATCTCGGATCGGGAGCGAATCTAAGCTCAAGCAGCTGAGCTTCGAATCCCTGTCCCGCCGAATAGTATAACTACTTTTGTTAGATCGAGAGGATTACGGTACCACAGGTGGGTCAAACCGAGAATTTCGACTCTCTGATCAGGTTTCATTCGAGATCTCAGAGCGATCATGAACCAGAGTTGGAGTACGTTTCTCGATCAGAAACGCTCCTCAGAATCAACGGACGTGGACAGATCACGACTGATTTTTCTTGCCCGGACATTCATCGATAAGTCTCCCTGAGTGTTAATAATATTATGTGTGGAGCTAGAAGATCCGTGGGTAGCTTTTTTATGGAAATTCATCCTTTGTTCATGGGTATCCACCTATCGGGTTCGCTGATGTTCACTCTCACATAACTCGCATCAGGTCTCCGCTCATGGCGCCAGTCAGGGGCTGAATGGCTCAAGGAATCAGCGCACGCACTTTCCCCTCAAAAGAAATGTGAGACATCACCGGGAAGCGCTAAGGCCGGGCTGGCAGGGCCGGCAATTTTTATCGCGGAAATGCTCTGAGCTTGTTTTCTCATGTTCGTCAAGAATGTCAAGAATAAGAAATCGCGGGCCATGATTGCCAATTTAAATCCTCGCTCAAGGACTGTGCTCTGAGTTATGCATAGACTTTTTATTGCTTCAGAGATCATGGCATTCTTTATCCTACCTCTATTAGATTAATGTCTCGCGAAGCGGTCGTTCAACTAGCGAGATTCAGACGACCTCAATTCAATCTCTCGAAAATAGGGAACTTTCTCCGGGTGTCTCTTCTCGAAAACACCTCATATCCTCTCGGGGAACGTATGTCGCATTGTCATCCGTAATCATTATCATCAACCGTGAGCACCTGTCAGACTTAAGCGATACAGCAGAAGAACCCTAGACAATCTGTGTTTCAGATGTACGTTGATGTCGCGCATCGGCTCAATGATTTCTACGAATCCCATCGTTTGCAGAGAGCCGCGATTTTCCGCAGCTCGTGGCTTGCCAACTTCTCGTGGGTTGACTCCGCGCCATTGGTTCGTGGAATCCTTACGTTGATACGTCGCTTGCCGGATAACCTATCGAGCTCTCTACGCTTTGATCCACTCTCCTCAATTTCACGAAATAGCTTTCAATTTCGGCTAAGGATCTCCCTTTTGTTTCCGGGAGCTTCACGACCAGGATTACCAGGAATGCGAGTGAAATTGAGCCGAAAAATGCGTACGCCCCCGCGGTCGAGAGAGCGTGCTGGAGGTTGTACCACTGATTCGTCACCATGAAGGCACCGGCCCAGTTTACGCTGGTGGCGATGACACTCCCGTAGCTTCTACATCTGATCGGGAGAATTTCACCCATCATCACCCAAGCAACAGAACCAAGTCCTATCGCGAAAGCGATCGTGTACACAGACATTATGACTATCGGCGCCCAAGCGAGTTCTCCTCTCGGTTTCAGCTCGATGAAGTAGAAGCTCATGAGGAACAGAGAGATGATGACCAGCACCGACGACACGATGAGGAGGAAACGGCGTCCGAAACGATCGATGAGGGGTATGTTTAGAATTGATCCGATGACCTGACCTAGTCCGAATCCCACCATGCACGTGTACGCTGAGAGGACGGTCCCGGCCTTGTGGAAAATGTCATCTGCGTAGAAAACCACCGCGTTGATACCTGTAAGACCACAGAGATTGTGAATCGTGTGCCAGAAAATCACGATGATTCAAAGTCGATCAATCGCAGGATTGAGGACACAGTCGGATAGAGGCATATCTCTAGGTGCGTAAATCCGCTGACTCTTCCGTATGTCTTGAGCAACGAGCTGTTCAAAGCGGCAGTCTTACTCGAGTAGCTTTCGAGTCCAATTGACGACTGAAGTACCACGCCGGACTCTCCACGGACATCAGGAGGAGTAGAACGGTTACTGCGGGAAAGACCATTCCGAATAGCGCAAGCCATTTCCACGTGAAGAATTTCGCGACCAGAATTTCGCGACCAGATACATCGATAGCAGTCCGGAAACGATGAATAACTGAATGGCGGATGAGAGCCGCCCTCTAACAGCCGATGGTGCAACCTCGCTCAAGTAGACCGGTCCTACGAGCGACATGACACCTGGAGAGATAAATTTCAATTTAAAGCTCGTCAGCTCCAGAATTGTGTCACTTCTTCTCGGAGTATCAGAGAGGGCGAGCGAGTGATGTATTTCTATCGTCGACGTGGGATGTCAAGAATCAAGGCTCGATAATCGAGAGTAGAAACCATATCATCTACGTATGGCGCATTCAGACAGGGATGCGACGTCCGTCTGCGCAGAACAAAATTGATTTCAGGAATGAGCTATTGATATCTCGGCGAAATGCTCACCTATCCAGTACCCGCATAGAAATCGTCCAAACAGTAAACAAGCTACAGAATATGCGCAAATAATCGTCTGCCATCCAACAATGACCCCTAGAGAGGCAAGAATGAGGGTCCATCTGCGGCCTATGCGCTCACTGAAAATTCCTGCAAATATTCCATCGTCCAGTATATTGGGGGACTCATGAGGTTTGAAAGGGGGTGGGTTCATTATCAGGCACCATCTCCTATTTATCATATCAGGCCCTCCAGACGAGGACGCAATTTAGAAGAGCTCCAAGTTGCTTACCTCCAGTGAGTCCACCGAGGAGCCCGCCCAAGGTGAGAATACTAGCCAGCCAACTGAACTGGTAATCCGATATGGGAAACTCATCGATAGTCACCATAGATTTTTTGGCTGGCGCAGAGTAGCCATAACAGGTTCCAATTGAAAATGAAGAGACCCATACGGCCCAAGCCGCTATGAAGTACCGATACGAACTCACGCCGTCCGCACGGAGTAACTGAACAGTATCAGCTTCCATAGTGATCGATGTGTATCAATAGTCGACAGTGCAGGGTGAAGGATCGAGGGGGATGCTCCTTCCAAACAGTGGGAATGATTCCGGATGGCGAAGAGGTGGGGTGAGCTGGCTCGACCTCACCGAGGTATCATGGCGGATGTCTGCGGAGACGGATTACGCGTTAGTTACGGCAGTGTTAAGAAGTCCCCTCTACAGTCTCAAAAGCGATGCTTCGCGCTGTGCATCGATGAATGGCAGCGTTCCCGAATCAAGTTTCTGTTGCACGCTTGGACGACAGACGGAGATTTCCAGGCGATGCGGATCAATTGCGTAGATTCTCTCTGAATGGAATGAGTCATGGAGTTTTGAGATATTTGTCGATTGTGACGCTGGTTCACCTGAGCTCAAGTTCAATGATCCGCTTGAAATGTAGCCCTATTAGCTTTTCCCGGAGAGAAACTCAAGCTCAATCCCCTGAGAGTCAGGGATTATGAGCGCTCTGTAATCAGAGCCGAGAAATACCAACTCCCTCATGAGAATAAGTCGGTCAAGTACTTAATCTGCAGTCCCATATTGAAGCTGTGGAAGCTATTCCTCTCTGAGTTTCTGTGATGTCTCGAGACAGCGACGGCTTTTCTAAACAAGAATCACTCGCACAAACGTCGAGATTAATCTTCGCGAGACTCACAGACGCCTCCCGGTGCATAATCATAGCAAATAGCGCGGGAATGCTCGGGATGTTCTAGAATCTAGAAGTCCATCTGGAGCAGCGAGCATTCGGAGCTCGGCGGAGCCAGTAAAGTTTTCGTCGTTCTCTCACTGCATTTTCGGAGAATCTCGTAATCCCCCGGGCGTTCAGACCTCGAACGAGCTATCCATTGAGTTCTGTCAGACTCGGATGAGCTCGGACGGGCCCGGCAGCGACCTCATGACCGGGAACTAGAATTCGCCAAATCCGCTTCCCGAATCGCTTCGGTGTCACAAGACGTCGATGTCGTATTGCGCCAAGAGGAGAAACGATGATTACTTCAAAACAAATCGACGCAGCGCTGTCAGCAAGACCTCTTCCGCTGATCCGCTCGGCCGTCATACACTGGAGGGAGTCTCCGAGTCGCCGCTTAGGAAATACGAGATCAGGCAGAAACGCCTACTTGGTGATCAGGCAGAGCCTACACCGTTACGAAACACTTGCCAACATGAGCCTTGCGCAAAGACTTCAATTCGTAGATCTTTCGAGGGAGGGGGAGGACAGAATCAACATATTGCTTAATTTCCTACTCACGTCAAGACAGTTGAGTTCAGAGAGACGGACACTGCGAGAACGAACCGAATAGTCCGTCTCGTTCCACCGCTAGCTAAGGCACATTGGAGCAGCTGACTGACACTCGAATGTTTCGAAATACGGATCACTCTCTCCTCCCGTTGAGAAAGAGAGAAACACTTGCTCGGAACTTATGCATTGGATGATCGTCATCTTCCACGAACCTTCCCGGATCCGCGGGCTCGATCGCGGATAAGATCTGGAAAGGAAGTGCCGGCTCCCCGTGAGTTCGCTCTCCCTCTCGAGTGTCTTGGAAAGGCGCCGGATTGGGTAGATTGCATCGTTCCCCGGTAGATGCTGACGCGAACCACAACAATGGCCGTTCGTCCTCCCGAAAGGTGAAAGCAGTGTCTATCGGTTTCTCGAGCGATCCGTGAAACTTCAAAATGAACGCCATCCTCCGCGGCGGAGTGTACGGCCGCTGTTTGACGAGGTCCCTGCTCTCGTCTCAATGTGTGCCTCTGAGGGCCTCTTCATCGATTCCATCAGAGGCCTTCTTCGAGAAGCAGAAGGCTCTCAAAAGGCCCCTCAGTCCTCATCTAAGCATCTACAAGCCTCAATTGACAACCGTGCTCTCCATCTCGCATCGTATTAGCGGAATTGGACTCACCGCGGTGGTTTACGGGATGGCCATCGGGGCCTTAGCTTCCAAAGGTAGGGGGACCGCTCTTTACCGCTTCCTCTGCCGAGCGGAGCGCCGGGACGTCCGGTCGCTTGTCATAAGAATTTGACTTACTCCTTCGAGCCACGGATAAGATGAGCACGGAGCCGTGGTATGGATTTCTGATCTGCGATTTCACGGACCTAAAGGGCTTCCCCTCTTGCAGGACAATTTCCCGAATGTATAGCGGCCATCCAAGCAGCGCATGTCTCACAGGTGAGCGACAGTATCCTCCTAACGTCAGTTAATCTGATTGGCGCCGCCGCCCGGCGAAGAAGAGCGGAGTAGACACCGGATGCTCTCTGTCGGGTAGCAAGAGATCGTTTCCTGAATGAATAATTTCTTTTCAAGGCAATCATCATCCCCACGAAGTTTCTGACATCCAGCGCCTTCTTCTTCCACTTCTACAATGGGATCCGACATCTGTGCTGGGATATGGGCTTGGGCTTCACAATCAAGGAGCTATATCTGACAGGCAAAATCGTAGTGGTGCTTTCAGCTGTTTCAGCCGCGTACGCGACATTTATGCTGTGAGCTCATTTGCTTAGTGAGTAGGGGGTCGATATGGGTTTCATACGAAGACTGGGAGACGAAGCGCAGATCTGTGTTAGATAATAAATCGAAGATTACCCGTGGAACGTGAATCGCGGTCTTTTTCATGGAATCAGTCCATCGGAGTATCACGACGTAAAATTGGATAGATTTCATTTTATGAAATCTCCTCCCGAGAATCTATTCGCCATCCGATAAATATCTCGCCGCTTTTCCAGTCGGTCCAATCCCGATGACACTTCGGCCTTCTCATTTGAATGGAACCAAATACGTCGATTGATGATATAAGTACTAACTTGAGATGATTCTTCTTTGGCTACTCAAACCGAGAAAGAGACTTGTGGTTTGTTTTAAAAACAATACGTTATCTCTCCATTTATTAATTAGTTGTGAGTTCTCTCTTCACCAACTGCAAGCAATGCATGGGCCGAGTGCTCAAATTCATCCGTCAACTAGCTTTCAGACATAACAATTCTCGTTCTCTGTTGCTTTCCTTGATTTACGATTCCATATTCATCATCATTAGCCGTCGCTGCTCATACTTCACGTTGCAGTCGTCTCTTCATCGTAAGCACAGCGTGGACCTAACCTCGTCGTGGGTGTTATCTACTGAAAGTATTCCTAATAGTCGTCCCTCTCTGTTTATATAGCAATTCAAATATATTACTCCCCGCATCCCAATCCGCCGTTCCGTCTCCGAGACCGCATCGCACCTATTGCTGCTTCCCGATCAACCGGGGGACTGTTCTCTCTCCGCCTAATATCGGATCGGTGTCGGAGCCAAGGCGACTGGAAGCCCTCGATTCGACCCCTTCCGGTGTTTACCACCGGGATCATCCTCTTCAGCGGGAGTTCGCGGAGCCAACATCAAGCAGAAGGACTCACCATGCGACCGATATGATCGGGAAGCTTCCCTTTTAATTTAAGTCTCCCCGGGTCGAGCCAGGGTTTCTAGGAGCCCCTAGTCGGGGCGATTTATCGGACTGGATCTGAATTGTCCACGGTCACGGCCTGAGACGTAAATCCTCTCTCGGTTCTTTTCTTTCATATATTCTAAATACTGGAAATCCGATCAGGACGCGCGTCGTCTCCTTCGTTATTCGCTAGGTGCTGCCTCTCCATCAATTCCTGCGAAGTCTCGCATACTGGTCCAGTTTGTGAAAATAACTCTCCCAGGCATCTATACATCTCGCTCGCTTCCGGCCCGCAAGCCATCGGTCGAACCGCTCCCACAGCGCGCAAGAGCGCGCTCCGCATGGCATTTCCGTCAATTCCTCAACGCCCACTCTCGATCCATCATTTTTCAGACCAGAACACTTCACTCGGAAAATCTCAGGTCGCAGAACGACATGCACAAAGCAATGACATTTCCTCTGGGTTGCGATCCGAACCACACGCGCAAGTGCACCCCCAATCAGACCCGGAGCCGTGCGATCTCAGTCGCTGCGATCATCTTTCGCCCAACAGACTGTGAGGCCCTCACCGGGGCATATTGCCGAGCTCATCGTGTTCCTTTTCTCCCGCTCTGGACGCAATCGATGAAGTTCTGCTCCGGCCATCGCTCCCATCAGGAGCAGTACAACCGACCCGCCGGCGGCTCGAATTCGTCATTTTCCATCGGAACACCCCCAGCCGGATCCCGCTTCACGGCGGGATCGGTCTCCAAGGCGATAGCAACGATCTTTCCCAAAAAGATTGGACTACTCTTCCATCACAATTTCTTATCGATCCTTGGACAATCATGCTTGACAAAAATTAGAGCAACAAATAGAAACGTCATTATCGGCACGATTTGTCGAAGGAGGAAAAGACTCAAGAAGAGTTTCTCCGGTCAAGCAGGGTTGGGTCGAGGAGTCGACGCGGCGGGAGCTACCGGATCCACAATACGGATAATGGGTCTAGGTGTCGATCTGTCCCACTGCACACTACATCTGGATGTGGATCGATTGAAAAATGAAGGGATCTCCGTGAGAATAATCGCCGCCTCCCCTTTCGCGAGACGAATAGATACGAATGAGGGAATTCCCCTTGAAAGGAAGGAGCGCGTTCTCGGACGTCACGCCTCGCTTTAAGTAAAAATTGCGTGGGGCAGTTATGTCGTAGGTCATACTGTGAGGCACGTCTGGCTGGGGAGAGATTTCTCCCTTTCCTATCTGAACTTGCGGACTCGCTATTCATTGTCGCTTTGCATCGTGACTAAAATGAATGTCCTCCTCATCGACGGTGACAGTGACCCGGAGTTCACCACGAGTGTGTAGGGTCCTTGTGTTGGAGCGGGAAACGTTTGACCCGGAGGCTCTCAGAACAAACGGGCTCGGCGCTTAAGATCGTTTCGACGCCATTCGGGGAGCCGATAGAACTGTAGCCGGTCCATGTGGAAGATCTGATCGAACTCCTGTGAAGATTTTAGAGTCTAGTTAGTCGCGGAAGCCGCGGAGGGCGAGGAATATCATGAGCAGAATATCGAGATTTGACAACAAGGTTTCATGGATTCTGCTCGAAAATTTTTATGTTCGATAGATGCTCTCGCAATTTTTCTCCCATGCAGAAAACTGCACTCAGTACGCTCCGATGAAAAATATCATTATCGCCCCTTCTCGGGATCAATTGAAGTCAGCCGCCGCTCGGGTGCGGTTCAAGGAGAGGAATTTGAAAAAACACACGTTTGTAAATCAAGGTCTTCTTCGAGATGCAAAATCGGACGCCGTCCTCTCTCGAGGGCTCTCAACAGCAGATGGCGGAGCAGACAGTAGGAGGGGGAAGAGCTCTCCCAGCAGAATGCCCGAATCCAAAGTAAGAACTCAGAAACGCTCGCTCATTCGCGCTCAAGCTCGTGTTCCTACCTGATTGGAGAGATGCCTTTCGAGATGACATCTGTCAACATCACCCGGAAGCCTGTAGTTGGCGGTGCAGAGCAGGTGGTAGGGATAAAGTCTCGGAGGGTCCTGGGACAAGTGCCAATTGACGTTGGGCATTGACCGCCGTAAATGCGGTGAGTACGATGCATGTCTCATGCCTACCAAAATATCAGCGGTGCTCAGCTCACAATCTAACTCTAGAGTGCTCTTATATAGCTCCATTTTAGCAAAGGGCTCCACAAGGCACAGTCTGCTCCCAATCCGTCGTCGGACTCGATCAGGCGTTGCTCGCCAGCATGTACAATATTTTTCCTCCGCGCCGAGCTCGATCGGAATTGAGCGAACTGAGCCCTAGGACGACTCCTTCCGCAAGTTTGGTGAGCAAACACAGAGATGATATTTAAATCGGCAACGACTGCCTTCCGACGGTTTAATGCGAAATTTAGGTCTAACTTACCACAGAACGCCTGGCCTTCTCCACTCCGAGAGTGGTTCATCGCCGATTTGCTACGTACATCAGAGGACGCGATCGACATCCCGTCGGACCGGTCCGAACCGAAGTCCGAAGACGCGGTTTTGAAAGGATTAGCTGAGTGTGAAGTCTGCAAAGGTTGACCAAGGGATAAGCTCCATCGTATTGCCTCGGACAGCCGCACCATAATGCCACAGAGGAGAATGTTTTGCACTACGACGGTGCGAGTGCTCGGAGCTGCTCTCGGAGAGCTGGATGAAGTCGAGAGTTGACGAATGAATGCTCCGCGAGAGAAATCCTCGATCGCTAACAGAATCGACAGCCGCAGAATCAAACAGCTCTTACGATCGACTCAATGACCTTGCGGCTGCAGCAAACATGCGAGTGGGAAAGACATTCAGAAAATACGTCATAGTATCACGTAAGGGAGCGGTACAACGCCTATACGGAGGTCGGAAACAGACAAGATCAGCAGGCCAGCGAGACACCGAGCCGACGCTCGGAGATATCCGCTGGTCTGTGGTTCGTGTTCGGTTTTCCGGCTCAGACGGAGTCCCCGCCGGCAGAGCGTACGAACTGTGCAATCGCTACACGCGTGGATTCTTTAAGATGCTGCTCTCGGAGGCCGCTACGACGCCGACGGCAGGAATCACGAAACGGCTCGGACTTGAGACCCTTGACGGAGAAATTCGCTCACCATGGTCGTCGCATAGTGGGACGTCGTCCCAGCTGGAAGAGTCGCAGACTTTGCACTCAGACCATATCCCGGTTTCGGAGGTTGATGTAAGGATGACACGACTGAAAATCGATGAAATAATTAGGGTACGGGTCTTGGAGCTATGGGCGCTCGGGAGATTGATGAGCGAATCGCTGCGCGATTCGAATATGCGGAATTTCAACTCCCCGCGTCAGGATTGTTGCCTGGCCAAGTGGTCGACTCACCATTATAATTTATGTGCACATCGTGCGGCCTCGCAGACCCCCGGAGTATTGAATTGCGGTCGAAATCTGGATCTAGCTCCCAAGGTCGGGGTCGATCGAGATCTCGAGACGGAGCTGGAAGGAATGTCTTTATTTGAGGCTCCTTCTCGTCGCAAGAGAATCGATGAAAATTCCGAGAGACGCGAAACCTTGTGAATGATAGGAAATACCCACAGGCATTGACAGGGTTGTCGTAGCGGAGGTGAGCGGCGATTTCTCGCGAAGCTGAGGGAACACGGGACGCGTTTCTCGGATCAATATGCGTCATCTTGTAAGCTCTCATCTTCTCGCGCTCTTTGACGGTTTTCAGGAAAACTTTCCCGATTCCTGAAAAATCGAAATTCGTCCGCCTCAAGAGTCGTTCACCGATGCTTTCTGAGCGTGTAATTTTTGGCATGAAATCCGCCGCACACGCACGACATGATCGGGTTCGCTGAGAATCTTACCCGAAGAGATCTTCTCCAGTTCTTCCTCTTCTTTCTTCAACTTCGGATCGGCTGGAACACTTGCGAGGTCGACTTGATCTTCCCGATCAATTGTATCTGAGCCAACGGAGCTCCTGCGGATTCGCTCCGTTGGATCAGCGTACGGATACGGGGGTGCAGGAAAATCATCCCGTTCTGCGGAGAGAAATTCCGGGAATTTTAAACTCCCCAAACTCTAGCACTCTCGACCGATGTCGCGTCCGTGCTGTTTTTTATCTAAGCCGACAACGACACGACATTGACATGGAGAGTCCTTGAAGTTTGGCACGATAATTACGCCCGCAATCGTCCAATCAACAGAGCCGAGGGCTCAAGGACTCGCCCAGGACAAGGACGGACCCTTTCCGTTGCGTGTACGAATCCCGCAAAACTGTCAGTCATTCCTTTTCCGCACTCTCCTATTACTTCTACCTATTTCCCCTGTCTGTCGTTAATTACAGCAGCTCCTCCCGACTCCGCCACACCCAGCCATCCGGTAGCTGATGTCAACCGATGCACACCCACCCTCCCACCTACTCACTTGTTCGCCAAGCCCTTTGCCCACCCTCCAACATCCGAACATTCTTGTAAGCCTCTGGCTGAGAGACTGACGGACGGGTGGACCTAGCGGAGGACAGGGAGCGACACGGAGCGTCACGGGAGGGCTCGGCCGGGAATTTCGGCAAAGAAACTGAGCTTTCAATGGAATTTTCGAACTCTCTCCCCCTTGCAATAGACTCCGTACGGACTTACCTATGGGCGGGACCTGCTTCTTCTGAGGTTTCTTCGCATCAGGATAGAGTGCCAGCTCGATAGGTTCCTCGTTGTTCATATGAGGAGACCTGACGCGGTCCCCTGTGTGAGCAAGGCTGTCGACGAGGACCTGCATTCCTGAAAACACAATCTGATCTATCAGAGACCATATTCACCCCTCTAGGATGTCCTACGACAGCGAGCCTCACTCCGATGGGCTTCCTCTCCATTCCGATCGCCACTGTATGCTACTGTCGGAACACGTCAGAGTACGTCGACGGGATCAGCCACACCCCGACCAAGCCACCCAAAAGATCTAGCAGGAACCGAGGTCGGACGAGTAGAGCGTCGACGCCGTCTCCGAAATCTTGACTTGGGCGTGTCAAGGTGACAGGGGTATGTTCCGGGCACAAATGAATCTCTGTTTCTATGCGGCTTGACTAACGATGGTGATTCGGAACGCGTACCTTGCTTGTTTATGTGGATACGACCGTAAACCTTACGGTCATGATGCGGTGGTTGATGGAAATTCGGCGATTTCGGAGGGTTTGGTTGAAGAGGTCGTCGCAGGTAGCCCAGTGTCGGACCCTGAGTGAGATACGAACAGGCATAGACTCTCGAAAGGTCGTTCAACATCGGCGTCGTGGAGCGGTCGTGCATCGAGTAGTCGTACTGTGGAAAAAGAATACTCTTCAGAATGAGCTCCCGAGCGGAGTTTCGGGGAGTCCAATCGCGCAAAAAAATTAGACATTATTATCATTATTGTTTCTCGAGGGAATTCGGAACCTTCCCTCGCCCACCTCCTCGTATACTCGCGCTTGAAATAATAAGATTTCGCTTACGTGATGAAGAGGAATCGATGCGGAGCTGTTCAAGGGAGTCTCACAACGTGAACTGCTCGTCGGTGAAGCGGCCTGGGGAGTGGAATCGGAATTTTTAGAATGCAAATCGAAATCGAGACGTAACGTCAAACGTCAGCTAATCCTTTGTCATCGATCCTATCGCCGTCGTCTCAAGCATCGTTTCGCGACGTTTCTAGGATCAGAAACAAGACAGCGAGAGTGCGGTCAAATAGCTCGGTTGTGTCTCATTCGCAAGCTCCATCCGAGCCGGGCTGGTCGCGTGAACCGATTGCTCCAACGAGCAACGATATAGTCGGTGCTTAAGGACGTTACATGAAGTTCAACAAGTGAGTCCCCCTGTTCCTTCGATCTCCATGAGCTCTATCTTCTCATGAATAATTTACGAGCCGGGAAATTCCCTACGAGACGTCTGACCGCCCTTTGTCCGACTGGGTAGGATGAGCGAAAAGAAGATGTACATATATCAGAGCCTCAATCACTCATAGGGTCACTTGAACTCGCTTCAGCCATGAAATCTGTGGGGACGCCATCTCGGACCATTCTGCTCCGGAACGCAGGTTGCGCTCTCAAACCGATCCTGTATAGCTCGGAGCTCACCTCTGGATGCTCGAGATCTCCGTTTGGTCGTGGTCCGCAGCGAGGATGCCATATGGCCCCGGCTAGAAGAAAATATCATGTTTGATGCGAGAAGTCCCCGGGGAGAGGATTTGTACTCGAAAATAATTCAATAAGGAAAGCGTTTTCCCGGGGATGCATTCTGCGAACCCACCTTGGAGGTACATCTCCTCGCCGTCTCCGAAGGGGTCCCCGCATTTCGAACAGCGGGCACACGTTGGATGGAAGTGTGAATCTTCGCCGGCTTGGAGGACCTTCCCCGTTATGTATCGCTGACAGTGTGCGCACTTGACTCCGAATCTTGTTTGGTAATCCTTCTCGCAGTAGGGCTGGTCGTCTTTGCTCATGTACTCCCCATGGAGGAGTTGTCCGCAAGCTGTGCACTTGAAACAATAAATATGCCATTGTTTATCCAAGGCGACTAGGGCCTGACCGTCGACAAGAGCGTCTCCACAACCGGCGCAGTCCCCTTTCGACTCTAGAAGAGGCGACTCGCTCTTCACCGGAATCTGGATGCATCTGGAAAACGAGGCGAAAGCGATTGTCAATCAGTCAGTCACGGATTCGTCTCGAAGGATTCCTTTTGGTCGCTCGATCATTTTCTCTCTTCGCTCTCTCCACGCTCCTCTGGGACCCCTTTTCCGATACGAAGCGATATTTCCCTCTGCAGGCAACAGTCCAGCGACCTCAGAGGAGTTGAGTGAGTTCAGAACTTCTGATTGATGATAATTACCTCACACATAGACATTCCTTCCCGGTATAAGTGACCTTTTCGCCGCTTGGGAACGGCTGTTTGCAGCGAGCGCAAACGAAACATGCTGTGTGGTATGTGTTACCTGGAATCGATTCCCAGCTTTTAGATAGGAATGTACCCGAACCCGAACCTAGATTCGTCGACTCGAGTTTCCCATCTGACTTCTATATTGCTTCGATGAGATAAAGCGGAACGACAAACAGTCGAGTTCAACGAGAGCCGAAAGGGGGATCGTGCTCCAACCTCAGGAATCTCGCTCGTGCGCGTCCAGGCGAAAAATCACACCAACCACTGAGGAACAACGGAAAATGACTGCGGAGGGAAAAGCCAATTTTCAGCGACGGGCCTCCCACTAAATGATATTTCCCCTGTCGCCGCCCATGAATGCGGAATGAGGGGAATCGATTTGAAGTTCGCCCTTCATAATTCCACGAAGTCGAACCTCCACAAAGAATCAGCCGGTCAGCAGAGCTACGATTCGAAACCCCTCGTAGGTCTTCCTCGAGCTAGTCGTACGAATGTGTAGAAGCGTAGTGAAGCCAATCGTAGTAATGTACCACAGGTATGATCAATGATTCGCTGTTCTCATTTTTGCAGACAGTGGTCAAATGTGTCCGGATTCCTCCGGCTCGAGTATCGCTTACGCGGGTCCAGGAACATTCATGAAAATTCGCACAAACCTAGGGCTGTAACAACGTCTCCTTCAACGAATTTCTTGCACGCTTCGCATTTAGTGCCGAATGATTTCTGGTAATCCTTGGTGCAGTAGTATTTTCCAGCTTTGAAGAAGAATCCGCCTTGCGCTAACGAGTCGCCGCACTGCGCGCATTTGAAACAGTTGACGTGGAAGTATTTTTCTCCGACTCTCAGAGCGTTCCCCGAACATTTGCCCCTACACAGTTCACAATGGACTTTGCCTGAAATTAGAAAGACCAGGTTATATTCTAGTACTTATGTATGTAAAATGTTAGTACATCATCAGCTCATCCACGACCCGATCCCGAATCGGTACTCCCGGCTGAGCACAGTGGGCTCAGATCCGTCGCTCCATCAAGTCCCCGAGCTCGTCTCGACCGTGTCTGTGATTAATGGCAGAGAAGCCTCCAGTTTTGTCGCAAGAACCCCATCGCGGCTCCTCACGCGAACTTGATCGTCGTCATCGTCATAATTATTATTTCCGCGGTCGCACGTTTTCAGCCTCTTCGCGGGGTGAGTTCACCCGTTTCCACGCGCTTCTGAATCGGAGCACCAGAGTTCGGGTGTCCGCCCTATGAACGAGGGCATAAAAGCTTTTTAGAGCAGCACGTGGGATGATGCCGTCACAGGATATCGTGCTGTCAGGTGGTTACCCAATATCCGTTTCGGCTCCGAGCCAGGCTGTTTGGGGTAAGTCTCTCCATCACGCGATAATTCGCAGATGCTCGCTTTATATCAGGACCTGAAGCGACCTTTTGGAGGAGCGCGAGATCTGGGCTCCTCGTCGAATTCCTCGAAGACCGGCGCCGGAAGCTTCGGGAACGTGAAAAATTGTGCCGAACGGAGTTGTGCGGGGCGAGTGGTTCTGGATGAAAACTGCAAATTGCCCCGAGTTTAGCGGGGACCTATAACGCGCCTGCAGCCCGGGATGATCAATCATGAGACTGGTCGAATGAAATTCTCTCACGCGTCATTATTTCATTTCCTCTCAGCCATGTCGCTCATGTATTGAATGGCCTGATGAGCGTCTCAGACTCGAGAGCCATCAACATGTAGGTCATCAAACGCGTATCTTCATAATCGACCACAAGAGCGTGGGATCGATGTCGGCGAACGGCTATACATAGACCCACGATACGATTCTTAACCGTGAACTCCGCAGCCGGCGGACAATTAATCCCAATTAGATAGGATCCATTGCCATCGGGGCGTAGAGGCTTTCTAACCGCTACGCAGCTTCCGATAGGATGTGAACTCGCGAGTGCACTACAACTCGCGCAGGCCCCCCTTCCGATGAGGCTGAGACGACTTCCATTTCGAGAAAAAAAATCGATTCTGATTCGAAATCATCCTGGTTACAATAATCATGGCGTTCATACTACCAGGGTATGATTATTCATTCGACTTTCCATCCGAGCTGGGCGAGAACGCTCGAACGGTGACTGTACTGGAAGAACTCAAATATTTGCAGCATGATCCGCGACCGCATACGAAAGTCCAGCTTGGCAAGGTCGCCAAGACGCTGACGTCACTCACCGCGAAGAACGGCGATCTTCCCGCCGCTTAACCCGACAAGTATCGTTCCGATCCTCGTACACCGCTTCTATCGTGATTTTCCTCTGAGAGATTCGATCAGCTACCGGCTGAATTTGAATATTTTCGCTCCATGATAATAGCCGGAAGCTATGCCGGGGAATCGACCAGGGTCAGTGGGTAGCCAAGAGATACATGAACGGACCCTAGTCGGAATCAGACTGACCGTACGATTTCAGAACGGGGGCTCCCTCGCTGTACTGAGCGATGAGGCGGGGCTTATCCTCAAGCATTCCGTGATCGCCTAGGTCGAGCATTTGAATAACCCAACTGTCCTGTTTAATTATTCAGCACACATCAGGACCTGCGAGCTGTCGCTCATGAAGTCTCAACAAGCACGGTATGATTATATCGACCTGATGGAAACGATGGGTCGATGTGACGGACGGAGCCGGTGGCAGAAATGTCAGAGCAAGGTAGCCCCCCCCCTCAGTTTCGCTCAGCACACCGGACTGGGATAGAGAGCCCGTCGTGCCGTGACGACTGTCCCGAATGTTTTCGGAACGTCGCAGAGCCCGAGAATGAGCTCAGGATCGGCATCCGGTTGTTCGCGATCTCAACGGTGTCTCAGTTTGTTTTCGGCACTAATCAAGACGGGCCAGGAAAATTGTTTGCCATCCCTGTTGACTCAATGGGTCGGGTGCTTGATGTCGAAAAGAAGGGCGTGTCGAAGTTCTGCCTGTCATTTCATGCCAAACCTATGTCGTAAGACCTTGGATCTTTCTGTGGTGAGTGCATGGCGAATGCCAGACAACGACCAACCCGCCTGTCGAACGAGCAGCGATCCGAGCAACATAGCGAGCACCAGAGCTAGCAGTAATCCGTGGACTCAACGAGCCACTGGGATAGTTCTGTCCCGTGCGGGTACCGCCTTTACATATTTTCCAGGAATGCATATTTATGCACCTACAGAAGGGAGCAGGCGCGGGCAGGAGCGGGAATCATCGATGAGTAGCCTGTACCTATGGGCAGGTTCTGTGTAGAACATACTGGAGGACAGCGCTCGATGAGCGGCGTCCCGTCGTTGGAGAACTTTGGTCGATTCATCGCCTTCCGAAGTTAATTTCTTATTCTACGGCTCCGGCTCTAGAACTCGTGACGTATCAGAAAGGATCGTGTGATTGTGATGATCTGATTCCATGAACGGTGTACGTGTGAGTTTCGATTTCGCTAAGGAACATTAGGGCGTTATGGGCGAGGATCGCTTCGAAATATCGTACCGCAGAGGATGATATCCTTCCCCACTGCCCGGCCAACCGAGAAGAGTGGGTCATCGAGGCATCAACGCGTATATGTATTCAGGTTCATGAAATGGGAATGAGTCTTGACAAGCTAGAGATTTGTCAAATTCAGCCAATGCTCTGTATGCCACCACCGGTGGATATGTGAACCTCGCAAGACATCTGAAGCCTATGTCGGCCGCCTCAGCCGTACCAGCTTACGAGCGCAACTCAAGATTACCAGGTCACTCAGCGATGCCCTAAGCGTGAGGTCTCGGTCCTCGGTGTGCAGTGGTCTGAGGGGTTTCACTGCAGGAGGAAGAGCCCTGGGATATCCGACCAGAGCCCGCAGGAAGAACATCGGTCTCCCGAAGGTCTTTACAGGGTTGCCGAAAAACATGAGCCTGCCAACGGTTTCGGATGGCTCCCCGGGAAACAAGGTCGTCTGGTGCAGCGGTCCAACCCCACCTCCTCTGATGTGCGGACCGCGCGGAACCCGCGGGCTGTCCGCGGCTCGGACTCCGGGTGTGGTTTCGACCGCAACCTACAAGGCTATCGTGACTCGATCTACGAGATACTAATTTTTAAGCCGTATTGATCTGGAAATCTCCACAGCCACGTGGCTCCGAGCTAGGACCAGGCCCCCCAAACAGACGGCGTCGTCTCTTCGGATTCGACGTTAGATGATAAAACGCACGATTCGAAGATCTTCAGACTGACAGAGTCAGATTGCCACAACTCGTCGATAGCGGACAGTTTTCCGATTTAGCTGAGATCGCTCGGTCGGAGAAAGCCGGTGATAATCTCGCCTAAATAATTCCTCACTGTTTCTCTCCGTCTTTGTTTCTTGAGAGTTTGTGATCAATCGTCGGTTGGCACACGTTCAGTGCTTCTATCGCCGCGCAAGGTTCTGACTGCTTGCTCGATTTATGGCACCGAGTTGGAGAAACGCACATGCTCTCTGTAGGAACGAGAGCTCAAATGCCGCATGGCGCGCATGGTCCTTCCAAATATGGCAAAGACCCATATAGAAGAAAAAGAGAGCGCTTCAAGGCTCATGGTGACATATTCGTCGAGCGACAAGGAAGCTCAAACCAGCTAGGCTCAAAACAACCAGTCACGGCAACGAGGCGAGCAAAGGGTCCGCGTCATCAAATTCCGAATAATTCAGTAGTTGATTCTCGTTCCTCGCCGCTACTTCACTTTTCATCTTCTGGATCATTCATTGATGGAGGATCGATCGCTGACAGGAATCCTCCTACCTTCGAAGAAGTCCAGAGCGGAAGATCAATAGAGATCTTCGATTGAATAATATTGTACGGATGCGGGTAGTTGTAGAATTCGGGCGATGGAAGTCGACGATAAACTCCGTGCGCGGCTATAAATTCCAGTGCCCCGAAAAGAAATTCTCGCGGGAGAATCGGACAGGAGGGGAACATTTGTCAGACGACGAGTTGTTGAATTCGATGGGAGTCACTTGGGCGGTCATGCCATTATGCAGATCAGTCACGCAAAAGATTTCATCTGCACGTGGGAAGACCATAATCGTACTTGTAGTGATCGTTTAAATTGGTTTCAATTTGCATATCATTCCGGATAGTTTTGTTTGAGGTTTCGATCCGAGACGGATCCCCATGAACGTGGAAGAGTGCCTGCCAGGAAATTTCAGAGGGAGACTCTGGGAGCGAACTGGGAAGATGGGAATGTCCCTATTCGATTCGAGCGTGAACGGATTGATATCGTGTTTGTCCTTGTGTAGAAATCAGCGTGCGGAGTCACGAGCGATGGGGAACATTCCCTCAAGATTCCATAGTGGTCGAACGCCATCTTTTGATTTCGCTGCTTCTATTACATTATTTCTAAGAGCACGTTTTCTCAGGAACAGTGCTGAAACGGCTCGAAGTAGCGGTTTTCCTATTTGTTGAACCGAATTGACGAAGCTTCTTTCAGACAGGTGCGATTCCCTCGTAGACCATCGTTATCATCATCAACGACAAGGCAACATGACGACGGTGAGCTGGCAGCAACGGTGAGGCCCGAATCTAAGTAAGCGTTCGCATGGCTACTGCTATTCCGACGTCTCGGATTCGTTTCGTGGCGACCCTGATTCGAAACAACGCTCGATTCATCTACGCTGAATAATGAACGTCCTCCGAAGAATAGATCGACCTTATTTAGGTTCACTTTCCCACTCCGCAAACTCATCGACCGAGTGGGTTGGCTCTTTATCTCTGCGTACTACTGGTCAAGGTTGAGTCGATTTCTCCGATAATCTCGTCGAAATCGACGACGAGTTCCGCTTATCGGAAACAATGATCCCTCCATCCCGCCATGGAGCAGCGATTCCTCTTCCGAACGCGCTCTGAACGTAATTGCACCGGCATGACTTCCAAGCATTCGAATTTTTTGGCGGTTCCACGCTATGTTATCTGCGGACTGCAAATCGTTCATTGTGCGATGCATGTGTTGTGCAGATAACTACCTGGTCGCCCGCCGAGCTTGATAGGCCCGTTTCGGGGAAGTTGTAAACAACTCTCTTGAAGTTGGTTTCTGTTAACCGGGAAGCCTTCGGGCTTAACTGAGCCCCGCTCGACGGGGTAAATATAGCTGTGGAGTCCACAATCCCCTCCCTTTCTTCTTCTCATAGAGTGTTTAAGCGATAGTTGGTAGAGGAAACCCGGATGACGCCCGTCGGGCAGCGACACGCCCGTATTCATTCTCGAAGGCCCACAATCTCATTCGAAACTCCGACGGGATGCGTCCCGCGATGGGTTGAGCAGAATGCACCGTTACAATTCGAGAACTTTGCATAGACTTTCGGCAAATAAGTTGGGCCGCCATTGAAGGAGGCTTCAAGTACAGAAGCTCGTCAGCCGGACAATCCAGCCTGTTGATGCTCCTCTGCGATTCGAAGGGCAGTGATCTCTACGATGGTGACCGATCGAATGATCGATCGATCGATGGATGAATGAGCGATACTCCAAGCACGTGCTCCCCATTCACGTGTGGTCATGCGCGGATTCGCTGTTTGGAGATCGCGGAGGTTCCTGCCGGTTTTCGAATCGGCGCGGTCGACCCGGATCGGCACATGCCGCGTCTGACGGGACGGTTCGGAATTCCTAACTGTTCCGATCCTCAGAATTCTTCCGGCCAAGCTCTTAACATTTGGCGAAGAACTGTTCCCAAGATCACTCCTCTCATTTCTTAATCGCCGTTCCAGCGATCTTGCGAGGCTCCGATGCCCATCCGGACTTCGCGTCGTTTTAGAGCTCGAATAATAATTTCCACAACTAAAGCCCCACCATCAATCGAGTTCAGATGGATTAGCCCAGGGGTCGCAATTTTTATTTTCAGAGGGCAATTAACATGAGGCTCACATAGATACGCGGCTCGAGCTGCGGTCATTCAGCGGTTATGAAGAGGCTTTACAGCTTGGAGAGTGCTTTTAGTTCCGTCACTCAGATTTTTTAGGAGATGGCCCTCAAGTTAATGATGCTCACGGCTCAAAGAAGTCCGGAGCCACTGCAACGGAATCGATTCGCGACAGAAGTAGAAGGCGACCGCTTCACCCTTTTTTTTTTCATTTTTCTCATGAAGGAAAATGGAACTGAAGACCGAAAACAGATGCCAGAGGAGAGAACAAAGGATCGAGTGAAGGCACCGCGATAATTCCCGAACCCATTGTGCGGTGAATTCCGACCCAGCGCCCCGGCAGAAGAAAGCTATGAAAATGCTTAATGTTTGCTCGTGTATTCTATCGCCATCCTCGCGAGACTCGGCAATGTCGATTTCGGGATGCGCTTACTTTCTTGGTTGCCGTCGCTCACTGATTCGACCTTCTCTGCAAGACAGGCGTCTTCTAAGGGGCAGATGGCAACGTCGCGTCGACTGTGCGGAGTTCCTCGACAACATCATTCGATTTGAGGAAAGTCGTCGTCACAAATCCGATTCATTTGTCCACAAACATGGAGCTCCATCCAAGGAGCCCTGCCTCCATTTGATTCCCGGCAAGCTCTCTTTACCCTTACGATCGGCATGCCTCACGTCAAAAATGTAGGTCGTGCTGCCGGTCGAGTGTGTGTCATTGTGAGCCTTGGTCGGCCGTGATTCGCAGAGAAACCTTCGGGTTTCGGCCGTTGACGGTGCTGCTGCTCCTGTACAAAGTCGCGGGCATCTCTACTACTTCTACCATAACTGACCCAGTCCCGCTCTCTAAACCCGCTCTACTGGCTTCAACAGTCAAGGGCATGACGGAACAGCTACTTTTCGGTTCCTGAGATTCCCGTGAAGTCCTCGCCGACGCCGAACCCTGTTGAACCGCGCTGTTATTATTGTGATGCCGCGGAACACACTGTCGTCGCTTCACTGTGGTTCACGGGGAACAATGGGGCTCTTCTAACAGACTGGAGAAGCTCATTACACGTCCTGTACGGACCGGAAATCGCTGTTGTCAGAGCGCTTCGTCCATCCATCGAGAGCGACGTCCATCCGATAGCTTTGAAGCAACCGGCAACCGAATCCAACAGCGGTCGTCCAATCGATCGAGAACCTCGTGTTCGAACTCTCGAAACTCTATATAAGAGAAACGCACCGCTGGGAGACACCGGCCGCCTGTCATGATCTGCAGTAATATCCGCCGACCAGAATCATCCGTGCCAAGGCAACGACCACACCTTTCACTTATTCTATAACACGGAGTGAATAAAGTCGCTGTGCTCGTCAACGAAAAAACTATGATCCGGACGCATCTCGACTATGGGTTCGGAAACGGAGTGTTTCTCACAAAAACGTGTGGCGCTAAACAGCGGGGCAAAGGAGGCTAGCGCACAGTTGTCAGTCATGTGCTGTGTTCGATACGACGACGGTGGCGGCGACGAGCAGAGATCTCTTAACTAGGTGCAAGGTCGATTGTTGGGTGCGGTTCATGTCGTTGATAACGAACATTCAATCGGATCCGAACGCGGCGAGCGCCGATACGAGCCGACAGTGAGCGGCATTCGTCGGCGTTCATCCGGAGACACTCGCAAAAATGTCACCGGTCGAAGAGCGATCTCCATTTCACCGGGAGCGCTCATTGCGAACTCAGGTCAAGCGATGAGTGCACTCTGACCGACGATGCTCGTTTGTAGTGGCACTTTCTCGTGATACGCCGGCTGGATCGACAGAGCTCCCATAGAATGAAACTTACCCATCCTTCCGAGGCGTCCGGAGTCGTGGGGTTCAAATGTCACTCTGCACACTGGGGGTAGTCAAACAGTAGGAGGTTGCACAGCTTCCTATAGCGACATACTACCCTAGCGATACGCGGCCAGCGTCTGGAGCCGTGGAGGACAACCAGATGAGCTCTTCGACGTCAAGGATCTCGAAATCGAATTCCCGTAAAGCCAGCCGTGGACCAGGGTGTGCCTGCCTGCTTGTGAGCTGCAAGGTTGGGGACTGCTACAACCGCCAGGGGTCGCTCTTGTCGCGAGCACCGCTGTGGATATATCGAGGTTTTCCAATTCGAGTCTTTGAGACGAAGCTCAACTTCTACTTATGAGTACGAATCCCGAGTTCGGACTTACTTCGCGAGCTTTCTCCATTCTCCCGGGGAAACTTCCGATCTGGGGGGTCATCAACACTCGGGATTCGACTTTGCCTCGGGAACTCTGCGGGGAACGGTGTTCGCTTGCCAGGGAAAATTCTGCGCATCGATGAAGACGTGTGAAACGCTCCGACCGGGGCCTGGTCCTCGCCATGAATCGATTGAGTCGAAATGAATCGAGACTTGAATATTGGCGCCTCCAGAAGAAAACATAATGGGAGAGGAGGAAATTCTGAGGAGCAGACGTCACTTCTGCGGCGGCGGCCGCTGTAGATAGGTGGCAAAGCCGGTGTGTATCTTATGCGGGGCTCGTAGGACTGCGTCTAGTCACGTTCAATTCACCTGTCTGACGAAACCGAGGGTACGTACAAATATTTGACAATGTCTCGTGGTGCAATTCGATGCAGCATCGTGGACATGCTGGCGAATATCCTGGTCGAGCTGAAGTGCCGCTTCCTGTGGATTGACAACGTCGGCATAAGAAGCCGTTCTGACGTTTCAGATCACCCATTTCGGTAAAATTTGCGTGGGCCCATCGTCGACATGAAGCTCGCCGTCGTTGCACTGTCAGCGCTCCTTGCCGCGGTTTCTGCAGAGGATGATCTTTTCAAAGGAGACTCGGTGGTTTCGCTCGATGAGGCAGCCTTCGACGCGCTCGAAGATAAAGCATATTTCGTCAAGTTCTATGCACCATGGTGCGGTCATTGTCAGAGACTAGCCTCAACGTGGGAGGAACTGGGGGAGAAACTCGCTCAAAATGACAAGGTACGGAATGGTAGGGGAAACATTTTTGAGAATGCTTCATGCTCAGCATTATCGAGCGGGATCGACCGGTGCGTCGATGTTGAAGAGGTGTCCAGGCACGGCTGCATGGAAAGCCGTCGCGCCGACCCATGAACTCATGACCACGAACGTTGTTGTGGCGCTTTTGGAGCTCTTCCCCGTTTACCCTCGTCCATTTCGTCATGAGGTTTCCGCAGTCGCTGCGATCAATTCTCAGATTGACTCCCTGCTCCCGAAAAATTTCCCGAAAGAATTCAAGCTTCGAATGAGGAGTGACGCATTTCCCGGCTTGAAATGTCGTCATTGGCCCACATGAACATTATTATCTGATCAAATGAAAAGTTCTGCTTCCTCTAATGTGCAGATAACTCATTCAATTAGGTTGTCATCGCCAAAGTCGACTGTACAGAACAAACTGCTTTGTGCTCGAAGCATGACATCCAGGGATATCCGACCCTCAAGTTCTTCGAAGCTGGTAAATACTCGGACGGCGAGAAGTATCGAGGACGCCGAGAATTGGATGCTCTCAGTTCCTTCGTTTCGGAGAAGTTGGGAGAGAAGACTATCGAGAAAAAACAGCCGAAAGGTCTCTACGAGCTCACCGAGAACAACTTCGACGAACATGTCAAGGAAGGCAAGCACTTCATCAAATTCTTCGCTCCGTGGTGCGGACACTGCAAGAACCTCGCTCCGACCTGGGAAGACTTGGCCGCCAGCTATGCTGAATCCACGGGAGTGACCATTGCCAGCGTGGATTGCACCGAACACAAAGCTGTTTGTTCCCGATTCGAGATCAAGGGATATCCTACCCTCTTGTTCCTCCAGAATGGTGGAAAGACAGTCGAGAAGTACCAAGGGTCTCGCACGATTGAAGATCTCACGAAATTCGTTGACAAGCTCGTGAAGGTAACTGACTCGAATTAATTCCACGATTCCCTCAATTACCCTCAGTCGAGATGGAAGTCTAACCGAATCATATGCCCAGATCGCTCGGAAAGTCTTCCGGGTCTGCAGACAAGGATGAACGGAAGAATCCTAGAAAGCGGAAAGCTTCCACTTTGCTCAGGAAAGATACCTCTTCACTCCACAGGAAGAGGCGAAACACGAAGAGGAGAACCCTGAGGCTGCGCCTCTCCTCTTGACCGAGGACACCTTCGAATCCACGATCGCGTCCGGCGTTACTTTCGTCAAGTTCTTCGCCCCGTGGTGTGGACATTGCCGAAACTTGGCTCCGACTTGGACCGACTTGGCGAGGAAAGTCACTACAGCCAAAATCGCCAAGGTTGACTGTACGGAACAAGACCGCATCTGCAGCGAGAAAGAGGTAAGGTGCTGCATGCTTCAATGATCCGGAATTCCAGCGATGCATCGATCCTCGTTCTTTCTCGAGTTGAAGTCCTCCCCGCGCGAGCAATCCTCGAGGCTAAATCTGCGCAGCGACCGAGAAGAGACCAATGGAACGGAGCCAGCCAGCTATCGATCGCTGCGACTCAATTTAGGCGCCAGATGAATCTCCAGGATCGAGGTTCAATTCCGCGCTTCAATGAGAAACTCTTTTCATGCCTTTCGATTCAAATGGGCAGATTAGCTCTCGCCACGGCGAATTCCCTTCGATAAACCGCGAATTCCCGATGGCGATCCAAAAACTTCTTGAAACTCCTCGGCTCTAATCTGAAAGCTTTTGCTGTGTGGCTTCCATGAGGCTCTTCGAGCGTCTCGTGACAATATATGTTTCAGCGGAAGCTTAGAGCACGGAAATCTGACGATGACTCATCGTCTCTTGCAGATCCAGGGCTATCCCTCCTTGATCCTTTACAAGGACGGTGCGCGCGTCGAGGAGTACAACGGAAGCCGAGACTTGGACGATCTCAAAGAATTCGTCGAGCGCCACCTTTCAGGAACCAAGGACGAACTTTAGAAGATTCACAGAAACCTCTCTACCGCGGACTCATCCCGTCAATTACTGAACTGAGGGTTAGTGAGTGAACCAAGTCCGATTGCGGCTGCCCAACTCCGAAAGGTCCTCGTTTCGCTGCGTTGCCTCTCCGACTCGTAGCAGTTAGGCTTATTCTTCTTAAGGAGTCGATTTGCCACGTCGATATTTTTGCATCATCCCAATATCGAAATATTGTACTTTTTTTCTATTCATCAAATTTCTGCGTTTATCCAGCGGTCGCTGCGCGGAGCCAATAGGGGGATTTCGAATCATGCTCAAAATCCTGAAACGAGCATATAAGCGGGTAACCTCTAGATTCCGACAATCGACGCGATGAGACTCGGGGAACGAAGTCGGGAATATCTATTTCGTAGGCTGAATGACCGAGGGTCTCCCGCAGGCAGGGACGCTCGTATGGAACTGCGCTAGTATAAGATGATGGATACACTTGACCCGTCGAGGGGTCAGCGGACAAGCTGAGTCCGATACTTTGGAGAACTTACTCCCATGGAAACACAGTGACCCATAGACCTCGAAGCACAGAAAAATCGACGGAGTTCCTCCTAACGAGAGGGATTCTGAAGGGAGCGTAGGCTAAAGTGTGATCGGGAAGGATCTCGTTTTCCTCTCTCAAAACTTACAAATATGCTCTAGTTGGATTTTTTCGGCGACGAATGTCAATAAATTTCTTGGTGATATATTACTTCAATCCAAAACTAGTCCTCCAATTATTCGTTGAGCGTCGTATATTCTTTCCCGAGCTGGCTCAGACCTCCGAATGCATCTCGATTGGGCCAACTGAGGCTACGGAAAAGAAGGGGGACAGTGCGAGACCCATCATCCAGGGGTATCGACAGCAGCCGATCGCCGCCACTAGTGTCATTATCTCGATTATTGTCGATCCATTAGAGCGCCCGGGAGGCTACCCCGATACGAGCACCCTGCTCGCCCCAACAAGTACAAACAATGAGGTTAAGAGTGTCAGTGAAGATTTTAGCACGTTCACATCCCAAGAGATCGGAGAACGACGCTGTCCGCCCGCATCGTCCCCGTACCAATGCTCCGAACGAGTTGCATTGTCACGTCCGTCGTGACCCGAGAGACCTCCCATCGTCTACTGATTACAGAAATCCGGGATTATTCTCGACTTGGGATCTCATCGGGGTTGTTTTCTTCACCCGCGAATAAATGGAGTGAGATGTTCATGATTGTTTGGTTCACCTAATATCTTTGCCACCGAGGCTCAGGATGATCCGCGTGGAAGTGTAGAGAAGTTCTCTCGAGGTACCATGTCCCTCAAGTCCGCGCATGTTTCGAAGAGGTGCCGCCAGGTGGCGCCAGACAGGTACGATGCTGTTTACATCAGGTCTCGTCATCGAATCATCAGCAGCTGCGACTGTATTCGAACGTCAGCTGTGGCCAACCATATGAGGGACGAACAACATGGCTCCGGTGTGGTGAACTCGGAGCTCGATGATCGGAGTCGACGGCCGCAGGAGCCCGAGTTCCTGAGCCAGGAGTGGCAAAGATCATCGTCAGGAGCGAGAGGATCCATCCTGAATCCTGACCGGTGGAGGAGCGAAGCTCGATGATTGTATTGAAGTGCCACTACTACATCATGTTGTGGATGAACACTAATGAGGATTAGACAGTGAAATTTCCGACGAGCCGAGCTCCATTGTACAATGTCCAAACTATTGAAGCACTTCAAAATTGGAAAGAAGAACAGCCCTGATAATCATGTCGATTATCAGTACATGGGTTTCGGTGAGTCAGATGTGTTTATATCTCAGAAGATGAAGGATAGCGGTCTTCTTGCTTTTATTCGTTGGGAGACCTGCTTTTCTAATTATCTATGCACCGACTCAGCTATGACTGTCTCCGGTGGACAGAAGGTCATGTCCACGAAATAGATACGCTCTTGGACGACGCATCAGGATGAGCAATGAGGAGCTGCTCCTTGATGCTCGAGATATCGTGTGCCGGAGATTAGATCTCATCCTGGGAGAAGGGAAGACGAACAGACGGGATTTGATCCGCGGAATGCCCGTATTTTCCCTCTGCATCCCCGAAACTTTCGCTCGAATCCCGGGGAGGCGGGGCTCAAATTATATTGGGGAACCTTCGGTTTCCAGCTTTCCAGGAAGCCTCCAAAGGAAGGTCAGGTTTCCAGGAAGCCTCCAAAGGAAGGTTAGGTTTCCTGGAAGCCTCCAAAGGAAGGTTAGGTTTCCAGGAAGCCTCCAAAGGAAGGTTAGGTTTCCTGGAAGCCTCCAAACGAAGGTTAGGTTTCCAGGAAGCCTCCAAACCTGGGAAGCCTCAGAACTCAAATGCGGTACACCTTACATCAGTAGTCGGCTCTTGGCCTTTGACGAGCTTCCCGACGAACTACCGAGAGACTCGGCTGAATACAAATCGAGCGGAACGCTCGATGCAGTTTCGCGGAGCGGAAGCGGAAAATTCAGACTTTTGGGAATCGCCCAAGATTAGGTACTCGTGGTTATCAGAGGTTTGACGTGACGGATGGCGACTTGTATAGTCCGCTGAATATATTCGAACGGAGAACGAAAGAAAAAGGCAGCTGGATTCCATTTGGTGCGAAAGCACCGAGAGGAACGTCTGATATATTGTATCACCGCAACGGATGGAGGTGGCACCGCCAGAGAGGTATCGTGAAGTCCGAAGGTCTTTAACGGAGAAGATTCCTTTGCGGCAGATGGGGAACTGCAGCGAACGACTTTTTGACGTGAATTCTGAGCGTATCTGACAGCCGCTCAGTGGAGCCGGCCGGCGTGCAGCTTGTGCGGATGCGTCCGCGAGCCGAAGATACGGAGTCCGTATACATGTATGTATCTATTTGTTTACTGAAGCACGAACGACACCTCAGAATGGAGAAGTAGAGGGAAGAAGAAAGAACTTGCCAACACAACCGCGGTGCGCTGTATGCACCGTAAGAATTTTTTTGCTGGAGCTTCGAAGGAATTTCTCTCACCACAATGCAACGAAAGAATGTGTGGCTAGCTGACTCCGAATTTTTCTTTGTCTTTTCTTCTGCTTTCGATGCCCGCTTCATCTGGTCCGGTGAGGAGACCTACCAAATACCAAGTATCTCGGTATTTGATTTTCCTCGAAAGTTCAAACCGTGTAGAATCGAGGGGAGCTTGGACACGACCGGCATTCCTCGATTCGACGTAAGCGCTTGGCGTAATTCAAACGATGAGCTCCTTCACGGTTTCGAAAAGAATTCATGGTGCAAGCGGCATGTTGCGCGATTGAACTTGAGGAATGCCCCGATTTGGTTTCCCGAAGTCAAGGTGCGAAGACCGGGCTCTGTGACTGACCGGCGGGGAGGATGACGTCGGACATATCTGCGTGACGGTAGAGCGTCTGAAAATAATTTGAGCTTAAGAATGGCAGTGAATTGTTTGACTTGGAATGACTCCTTTGGAGACAGCGAAACAGAGCGGGAAATTTTCTGAAGCGAAAACCACTCGCCTCGCTGCTTTCGTAGAAGTGAATGGGAAAACTACAATACATACAGCCAGTAGCGAGGGCGAAGCCATGGTCGCGAGTCGCGACCATAACGTAAACGGCAGCGTGTCGATCGTCGTCACCGAATTACTTGGCGGGGTTTCGAGAAGTATTGATTCCAAGTAGCGAGTTGATGAGAACGTCGAGGCGGTCTTCAGGCGGAGAGGAAACGATGGAAACATTCGAGGTGGCCCCTTCCTGGACTTTGCTACTTGATTCGTCTCTTTCTCCTTCTCGTTGCTGCGTATGTGCGCGGTACGAAGTTCGCGTGTGTTCTTCGCTTATGTGTTCTCTGCTGTTTGTAACAAAGTGAGTTTATTGGAGGAAATTGCTTGGATTGCTCGCAGCTATCGACCGGACCGGTGTTGGTGGATACCGGCAGTCGAATTAGTTCGGCAGTTCGTTCGATGGTTATTCTGTTGACGCTTTGGCGGGCATCTTCGGGAGCTCACCGGAGCGCCGAATCATTGGCGGTTTAAAATCAGAAGTCACGACGCTCTTTGAGGCACCCACATTGAACCTCAGTCGACTTCAAAGGTACCGAAAACTTCGTCACAGACTTCATCTTCGGCTACTTGTTCCTCGCCGCTCCCTCTGACTAACTGAGCCTTAATCTTTCATTTACTCTCTCGGATGCTTTCTCTCCCCCCAAACTGACCACTCCTAATTGATTATGCTGACGCTTGAGCGCTGCTTGACGGGACGTAACTGAAGTCAGATGTTTGAACTGTCCGCGGAAGAGCCGACGATCTCTGCCGCGATTCTGCCTTGCTCTATCGATGATCTTCCCGACTAGTTGGGATTATCTCGCCGTAGTCCCCATCAAGATCAGGGAGGAATGATCGTGGCATCGGAGGAGAGAGATTGTTGATCGGCCCTGATATTGACAATACATCTCATTTACTCCACCTCAAGTCTCGAATTGGTTCCGCATTCAGATCAGATCTACAATTATTATGATCATCTTCCCGAATGGATCTGTCTCCGGTTTGGGTCAAATTTCCGAAGATTTGGGCGCCGACATCATTCATTGTCTCGTCGTGCCCTGCTGCTTGATGCTTTCCGTCGCGGTGACGCGGTGGTGAGGTTCGAGGATGATGACTCTGCGTAATCCTTTCAAAATTCCGGGAAGGAATGAAGTATCCGGACGAGCTCGCGGTTTCCGGAGATAATTGCACGCTCGCTCCAGCCGGAAAGAAGCCGAGATACGACTGACTCGAGTTAAACAAATAAATTACGTGACGTTATCCAATTTTTCATTCAGGAAACTAACCAAACTGACGACCATTTGCACGTTTCGACTTTTACGACAGAAAAATCGGTGCGGTTTTTTTCGCGGCGGCTCCTGCTTTCGGCACAAGAAATTAATCATGGGCGACCATTGATTTGGAAATCTCCGAATGCAGCAGAATGCATTCATCATGCGAGAGGTTAGCGCCGTCTTCCGATGCAGGTCTCGCTACGCTCTCTTCGATATGGCATTCGCCGCTCTGCTGATACGTTTTGAACTTCTGCATTCAGTTTCGCAATCCCATGAAGGATCGCCTAGGTTCCAACCGCTAGCGGGTTTGTCTCGGTTGACTCGTTTTTCATTAGTGTTTCTGCGAAACCATTATCTTTTTTGAACTCTGTCCCCATCTGGTTTTCCAATGAGTTACAATCACTCAGCTCGGCTAACTAGGATGGTCATTAGCGGGCACGGATCGCTGATAAACATACAACCGTACGGAATCACGCGAATAGTACCCCGCATGGTGAACAGAAACGCGAGAACGACCAGGATTCCGGGCAAACGAACAGAACAGAAGATAAACAGAAATGTACCCGAGAGAAGTCTCCCCTGGATAGAATCCCCGAGATGATTGGCTTCACGGTGGTCGTGAGGAGCAGATTTTATCTTCCGCCAAGTACGATTAGCTTTTTCCCCATTATGCGTTTGTGAAAAACAATGGATGTGAGACAACAATTCAATGTTCAGCCTCGCTTAGCCCTAGTCGGTCATGGTTACGTCCCCTGTACTCTCAGGTCTCCGGCGTCCCGAGGGTTGGAGATCATTCTTTAATTTTCTCTCCGGAGATACAGGTGTGTAGGGCTACTTCAGAATTTTTCTGATGCACTTGTTGCTTGATCCGATAGAGCGATCCAAACCTCTTGGGGCGGTTTCTCTAGCT